GGGCTTTCCTCTGTGGAGTCGCCAGCGAGGGCGCTCGAGGGAAAGGTGTGGCGGCGGCGGCGGCGGCCCCTCTTCCTCCTCTTCCTCCATGGCGTGGAGCCGGCGGGGAAGCAGAAGGAGCCGGGGCTGAGTGCCCTGTCCGCTCATGGAAACCACCCCGGTGGGCTTGGCGGCGGCCACCGAAGGGGCGTTGGGAGAAGACGAGGAGGAGACCCCGCCGGTCATTTACACCATGGAGAACAAGCCCATCGTTACCTGTGAGTGACCGGAAGAGAGAGAGGGAGGGCGGGCAGGTGGCCAGGCGGCCGAGCTGGCTGTCTTGGCGTCCCCGAGAGGGACCCCCTCCGAGGAAGCAGGAGGAGCTGGGAGCGCCCAGGAGTGGCGGAAGGGCGGCGGGCGGCTGCTTGCTGCTGCTACTGCAGCCCCCGTGGGGGGGGGGGCCCTCGACTTGCCCCTTACCGCGTAGCCTTCCCTCCTTGGCCGTAGTGGTCGCCTGGAGAGAGAGAGGGAGCGAGGTCCGTCTTCCGCGTGGGAATGACCGACGCGTGCCTTGCCGAGTCTGGGGGCAACACCTTTGGTCGCCCGAGGCTGGGCTCTTGCCACATCCACCTTTTTTAGCCCACCTGCTCTTACCTTCTCTGCTGGGAAGAGGTTTTTCCGAACAGGGTGCACCCTCGACCCACCCGGGAAGCGATTCTCTCTCTGATGTGGAAAGCCACGAGATATTTCCACCCACCCACCCCCAATGTATGCTTTGTCTCATTTGATGGATGGCTAAAAGGATAGAAGTGTGTAATGTCTGTAGTGTTTTGATCCCCCCCCCAATGCACACCCCTTAACGCTGAGTGGTTCACAGTTCTACCTCCCTCATCCTTAAGAATAAAATAAATGGAGGAGAATCCCTAGGAGAACAGAAGGGCCTTGCCCAAAGCCAAACTTTTTGTGTATGTGGCAGAGATGGGTTTTGGAGGCATTGTGTGCACAATCCAGCGCATCTCAGGTGTGCGATATATAGGGAGCTTTAAGCTACAGGACGTTTGCATAGCCAGGACTTCTGCTGCCTTCAAGCCACCAGCACAAGTGTTCTTTCTCTGGTTAAGAAATGTGGGGGAAGTTTTGCCCTGGAATTGTCTCCATTGAATTGCTGTCAAGCTTGGTTTTTTTTAAGCATGTGTTATAAATATGATTTTAACATGTGCATGTGAAAAAGAAAGTAGTTTCTTTTCCATCTCTTATAAATAAAAAAATCTTGACCAGTAAGGATGTGTTTGAAATTCGGAGGCTTCAGGAACATAAGTTCAAGCTAACAATAACATGAACATGTGTAGTTCTACTGCAACTCTATTTCCTCAGCCTCAGTTCTGTTAATAAAATGAGTATAGTAGCATCCCTAATTCCATGTGTTTGGGAGAACGTAGGTAATCAACTCATGTACTGTTCTACAGTCCCTGTTGCTGTGTAGTTGAGATAATGTGCATTTGTAGAGTACAGAACTGTTTGGTTATGGGCCAGTAAATGACTGCATTTTGGTGACACAGGACTGAAATCATGCAGCATCTTTGATATTCAGTGGTGTCTTGTAATAGTCAACTTTGGTATATTGTAAAACTAAAATGGCAGTGGGCTTTTTATATAGTTCTCTTCAGCATGATAATTGGATATCTGTCATATTTGTTGATTTGAAAAGTGAGTTGTGGAACTGATTCTGTGACCAAACTATTATAAAAAGCCATTTCAAGGTTACTTGGTTCTAATTAAACTGATCAGCTAATTAGCCAATTTGCTGATATGATATGCAGAGTTGCTAAAACACCTCATAGTGTTCAAAACTGCATAATGTCCCGGAATTCTTTACCATGACGCTAAAAATTAAGTATATTATGATGTGTATGAATGCTGGTTTATAATGGTTTACCTGATGCCAATTACAACATGTGGCTCAGGCACATGAACCTAAGGGCTTCCCTGCTCATTATTTATTTAGCATCTCTATCCCATCCAAAATCACAATATCTCATTACACTAGTCCTCTTCCTTTAGTTGACACTCTCTATAAGTAGCAGTGTTTGTGGTGCCATGTAGCTAATAAGGTTTGAATTTATGTGCATTTATCTGAAGCTTTAAAAAAAGTATCCCTGTCACATATTGGTTAACTTGCATACACTTTTCATGGTCAGTATCTAAAAGCTTGAGTTACCTGCTAAATAATCTAAATACAAAAGGCTGTGTGTTTTGCCTTTCTATTCTATGTAATTCAGTAAAAATGATTTAAGTCACTCCTATATTTAAAACTTAGCAAGGATATTTGCTTCAGAAAACTTAATACTATCAGTATTGTTCTTTGGTTTAATAATTTACTGTATTTTCATAAATTGATTTGAGATTTTAATTGAATATGCTTATTCAGAAGTACGTTGTCCTGATTTTAATAGTACCCACACCCAGGTAACTGTGGATAGGACATATCCAATGTGATATAGTAGATAGAGTGAAGTACTAGGACTCACAAGATGTGGATTTGAATCACTGCTCAGCCATGGAAACTCAGTGGAGGGCATGATGGAACTGGTAAAACTGCTTCTTAGATAAATCACTTGAGAATCCTTTTAGAGTCTCTATAAATGTGTTCTGACTTGATGGCACGTAACACATGGAAACAGTCTTGGAACTGATAATTTCCTGGAACAAACAGCATTTCTCGAATTTTCCCTGCTTTAAATTCTTGGTTGTGATTCATTTATAAGAGTGTAAATTGGTGGCAGGAAGGCATTACTCAAAAGCTGCTGAATTTCTGTTTTATTTTTCCAAATTGCCATAGTCACTATAATCAGATAGGACTATAGGAGGAAGGAGAAGTAACTTTAAAATATACTTCTTAAAATGTTAATGCTAGACTGAGACTGATATTTTTCACATTTGTGACTATAGGTAAAGCAAATGCAAATTCTGCTGCTTATATACTGCCCCGTAGCACTTCAAGAACTCTCTGGGTGGTTTACAAGTTAATCATGCAGGCTACACATTGCCCCCACCCCTGAGCTGGGTACTCATTTTACCGACCTCGGAAGGATAGAAGGCTGAGTCAACCTTGAGACATCTACCTGAGATTGAACCCCAGGTCGTGAGCACAGTTTTGGCTGCAGTACAGCAGTTTAACCATTTTAGTCATCCACACCTTTTAAACTCATTTTAAAATCTTACATTCCCAATGTCAGGTTTGTAACTTATTTTAAAACAGCAAAGTTGTGAGGCACTTTAAAGCATAACAAGTCTTATTTGGCTTAATTTTTTGTGGACCATAGTCCACTTCTTGTAATTTATTGTATATTTGTGTGCTGTTTAGTTTTTCCTGTTCTGCTAAACTTATTAGTATTAGTATGCTGCAACCTACTGTTCTTTTTAAGTATATAGTTTATTGTATTAGCATTTTTAGAGTCATTTAGAAAACATAATGTAGGACAATCTATCTATCTATCTATCTATCTATCTATCTATCTATCTATCTATCTATCTATCTATCTATCTATCTATCTATCTATCTAGTTAATAATAATAATTTTATGGATGGTACAGTGGTGCCTCGCAAGACGATTGCCTCGCCTCGCGGGACGAAAAACCCACAAGACGATTGGTTTTTGTGATCTCTATGGTGCTTCGCAAGACGGTTTCTTCTATGACCGTGCTTCGCAGGATGGTTTTCCCCCCCAAGAGACCAATGTCTCACAAGATGATTTTTTCACAAGACAGCTATTCTCATGGAACGAATTACATTCGTCTTGCGGGGCACCACTGTATTAACATATCTCCCCCTACCCTTTTGATTTTATATAATTAGCTTATGTTAAAGCTTCTGTTCCTGCTTGTTGAGTGAGTGATAGTAATCTTTTCTACATTCTGAGGGGAAGGGAGAGTAGGTAGGTAAGAAGATATTTTGAGAATACAGTGGTGCCCCGCATAGCGACGTTAATCCGTTCCAGGATTAACATCGCTATCCGGATTTGTCGCTATGCAGGGGGAAAACCCATAGGAACGCATTAAACTCCATTTAATACGTTCCTATTGGGGAAAAACTAACCGGCAAGCGAAGATTCACCCATCCGGCCGACATTTTTGCTGCCCAGTAAGCGAGCGCAGGGCGTTAAAACGCTGCGGGTGGCCATTTTCTGCACCCGGTGGCCATTTTGGAACCGCCGATCAGCTGTTTTCTAAACGTTGCAATACAAAGATCGGTAAGCGAAATGCTTACCGATCATCGCAATGCGATGTAGCCTATCTAAACATCACAAAAACGTGTTGCTATGCGGATTCATCGTTAAACGGTGCACTCCTTAAGCGAGGCACCACTGTATTGGAATTCTCTGCGCCTTTTGATGATTGTGAGGGATAGATGGTGGATGATTAGATTTTTAGCAGCCCCTCCACCCTTGTTTATATGTTTATGTTCATGTACCCAGTGGTTCGAAAGCATGCAAATGCAAGTAGATAAATAGGGACCACCTCGGTGGGAAGGTAACAGTGTTCCGTGTCTAAGTCGCACTGGCCATGTGACTACAGAAGATTGTCTTCGGACAAATGCTGGCTGTATGACTTGGAAACGGGGATGAGCACCGCCCCCTAGAGTCGAACACGACTGGACAAAAATTGTCAAGGGGAACCTTTACCTTTACCTTTATTGTAGGTTTTCCTTGGTTCTAAGTCTTGTCTGTTATGCTCTTTTCAATATGCAGTTTCAGTCTTGCATTTATAAGTCATTCAGATATGTATGTGTGAATGTTTTATGAGGCACAGAGGCATATAATACCATGGTAGGATATTGCCAGTGGATTCCAAACTGTATGCTATCAAGTGTGTGGATTCTCAAAAAATGTTTTGTTTCCTTACTCTCTAAACTTTAAATCTGTTTGAGACTTGCTACATGAAATAATATTTATATTATAGGTAGTTTAGCCATGTAAACATCTAAGAAACTTAAAATATTATTTGAGGTTAGATTAGCACTGAAGATGAAGTTGAAAGAAAGGAAGCTTCTGAACATCAGTGGGTTGTGGGCAAAAAATTATTTTCTTCAGAATTTGAGGAAGCCCTCTACAGAAACCCTCCACTGACGTAGATGTCACCTCCCACAAAGCATATCTACTGTATTACCACAGTTGATTTTAACTGATTTTATGGTTATTCATTCTGCTATTTTTATGCTCACTATATGATGATCTGCTGGATTTTGCAGATTCTAGTTTATATTTTTACTGTCATTTTGTATGAGTTCCCCTGGAAGTGGATTAAATACACAGCTGAGTGTATGAACTACCCTTTTAGATACGTTTTCTCTGAAATATCTCTAATGAGAGAAAAGCTTCCCTAAAAGACAGTGATTTTTTCTACTTCGTTTTCTTTCAAATAGAGTAGTTAAAGAGATGCATTCTCTGTTCACCATGAAGGTAAGCCCTCCTAAGCCTGTCTGTCTCATAATATAAACTATGTACAAGATGACTTATCTCAGACCTTTCTGCAATTTGGAGAAGTTATCTGGTAAGCTAATTAGCATGCAAAAGTTTCCCTCAAAAAAGATAGGTAAAGGTAAAGGTTCCCCTTGACATTTAGTCCAGTTGTGTCCGACTCTAGGGTGCGGTGCTTATCCCCGTCTCCAAGCTGTAGAGCCAGTGTTTGTCCGTAGACAGTTGCCGTGATCACGTGGCCAGTGCAACTAGACACAGAACGCTGTTACCTCCCCATGGTGGTGGTACCTATTTATCTCCTCGCATTTACATGCTTTCAAACTGCTAGGTTGACAGGAGCTGGGACAAGCAACGGGAGCTCACTCCATCGTGTGGATTTGATCTTATGATTGCTGGTCTTCTGACCTTGTAGCACAGAGGCTTCTGCTTTTTAACCTGCAGCATCACCATGTCCCACTTCCAAAAAAGATAGCTTGTGGTAAAATCTAGTTGGTAAAAGAATGTAATTTTTATTGTTCTTTTTTGCTTTAGACTAACTTAGCTGAACTTTCTTCCCACTGAAATAATTTGGAACTCCATGAAATCATAACCAGTGTGTCCTGTTAATCAATAGGATATAGATTCAAGCATTTTAGCCTGAACCCAGTCCATTATTACTGACATATAAGGTATCTGAAATTTACATGCACTGTATGGCAATTAAAGGGCAAGATAAACCCACGTCTACAAGTTCACAGTCAGCAGGCATGAGACAAAAGTGAGAAGAAACAACCAAATACTGATACAAGTCTTGAATGAAAGCTGTGATCCAAAAGTTCTGTCCAGTATTCAACACTTAACTGTGGACATGACCATTCACTACATAGTTTTTTTAAAGTTTCTGAATTTTCAGTGAGTGCTTGAGGGGAATAATAATTGTAAATCACTCCAGAATTATAGTATGAGTGCTTGTGTATTTGAAGAATGGATTTTGATCCATGAAAGTTCACATTGAAACAAATCCGCTAATCTTTAAGATGCCACAGGATCTTCTCCTTTTCTTATTTTTCATTTTCCCCTTTAATTTTGTCAACACAAAAATATGAAAATACAGAAAAATACTTTATAGTACTTCCAAACATAACAGCTGTAATATATAGAGACGTTTGTGAAGCCACATTATCTGGTGAATGTTTGATGGAACAGTATAATTTTAGCCAAACCATCTGAAAACTTCAGCAAGGGAATCAATTTTATCTCCTCTGCAAAGGAGTTTCGCAACTAGGGCTTTGCTAAACAGAAGACTCATTTAATGTATTCACTAAACTCACCTCTCCATGAGGCAGGCCACATAACGGCTTCAGATGTTGAATGCTGGTTCTGGATAAATTAATATGGAGGGATGATGGTCTTTCAGATACCAATCAGATATTTTGATAATTTTTTTTTATTTTTATCATTGAAATGCTTTTTAAAAAACTGGATAGTTTTAATTTAATATTTAAATATAGCTCAGAGATCTCACTATAGAATAGGGATTACAAATTCTGAATCTATAATATGAGACAATGTATTCATATAACCTTTTAAAATGGTTTTGTAAATAGGGTCAAATAGGTCTTAGTCGGAGCCTCAAATTTAGTGAATTAGGAAAAAATGCTGTTCTCAAGCCTGCCTGATATGTTCAAAAATATGTATTCATTAACAGCAATACTTCTGGAGGGAAAGTCAGTTTCTCCATTTTGTCAGTCTTTTATGGAAAACTACATGGCCTTCAACTGTTCATGCTCTGTAATCTAATGGGGGTGGTGGCATAAGAGTTATACATGGATTTTGCACTACACAGGGGTCCAGCATCCCTCACCCCAATGCTGTTGAAGAGAGAAATGTGATTATATTTAAGGTCTTATTGAAACTCCTTATGGAAGCTTGTGTCCTAAAGAAGCCCCTCTAAATATATTAAATACAATAAATAAATAATATGCAAATGTTATTATTTCCTGAAGCGTGCAGCTGTGGCTCTCTTTCTTGGCCTCCGTTTTGGTAATGAGAAGCAGCATTTTGCAAATTAAATTAGAAAATTAATTCTTTGTACAAAGTGTTGAACATTTGTGTCATACAGAACATAGGGTGCATATATGTGAACCCAATCTTAGGTGACATCGCTGCACTTTTTCTGTAACAGAATGCTAAATGTCATAACATCTATTCTCAGCCTTTCTTCTGCCTTGTTTACAACAGCTTATAGAGGTCTGTTCATCCTCATTGAAGATTGCAAGAAGATCAGAATGCTTATTAGTTCTTACCTGATACTAATGACCAGCCACACAAATAGCTGCAATCTTATGCACTGTTCTATTTGTCTATATAAATCCTTGTGTTTCTTTTCTTTGATTTTTTAAATATATTATTTCACTTCCTTCCCTGACTCAGAAAAAAAAATGGACAGGTACTATAGTAGTTAGAATAGCCATTATTTTGCCTGAATCTTTATTTATTGTCAACAGTATTTTTAGAGCTCTTGCCTAACCATTTTCATGGTCTCTTACATCAGGGAATAACACATTAAAAATTAATGGCAACAACGGTGAACAAAAGAGTGAAATGTGATGCAGTGTAAAAGCCAAATAGCAAAGAGAAATACATCAAGAGAACAGGTTTTTAGGTTACTTGGGGTACTTCTAAGTACATGTTGGCAACTGCTCACTTGAGAATTGCAAAAACTGCAGTAATCTCAAAGTTCCTACCATTCACAGGATAGCTTATCTGAAGAAATATTGGACTTGTTTATTGCACATCCTTTCTACTTTCAGTGTAGCTGCAGTCTGATGGAAAATAATGTCTTCAGTGTTGTAGAATGGGAAATTGTCTTCTTATTCAGCATTCACTCTCTTCCAACCTAAGTTATTAAAGCTATTATAATTTGAAGCAATCTGCAAAATGGAAATTACAAAGCTGATTGCTGTCTATCATTGCTTTTTACATATTTTTGAATAATGAAACATTAAAATTGTACCAGCAGAATTCTGAAACCACATTAAAATTAGGGTTTTTGCCATACCATAAACTGATGCGATATAAGACTTTGTAAAAGGCTTTATCTGTGCAGTGAATTTGAATAGTAGTTATAAAATGATAATCCTATGCCTTGCCCTATTCTGATACTGAGGCAGTGTTTGTGACTCCCATGTGTCATTTCTGTAGCATTATTTCCCATTGGTTGCATGAGAGGACTTCTATAATACTTTTTGTCATTATGTCTGAATGAGTGGCTTGTAATCCTCACAAGCTCACATGGAAATAAATCTATTAGTCTTTAAGATGCCATCAGAATATTTTTCCTTTGTTTATTTGTTAGTTATACATTTGTAAACTGAGGCATTGACAAGGATGAATCCTGTAGCAGTTGTGACCACAAAGACATACTATGCAAAATTTAGGAAGGAAACCCCAAGCAGCAGCCACAAAAATGTAATACTATGACAGTTGACGGAAAAGCACTGTGGATTAGTGTAAGGTAGTTGCCAAGGAACCTAAGCTTCTGATAACTGGCTCTCAGTATAAGGCATTTTAGTGTCTGAACATATAGTCATTGTTGGGAGCTTGGTCTAAGATCCGAGATGGAACACCTGTCATCCACAATTTCCTTGGAAAAAAAGCAATCAGTGTAATTTGGTAACTTTAGCAAATGAACCTGCCTTGTAGGTGGCACTCCTCCTACTGTGGTAGTAATGACTCTACAGCAAAATGGGCAGTTTTGGTCTTTGCAGTTTACTTCTTCTTCTGGTTAAGTTTATGTTCCTGCTTGCTTAGTCTGATAATAGGAACTTAATAATTTGTATTCATTTCACAGTGTTGATGTCCACAATCTGATATTTTATACCTCTTAGGTGCTGGTGATCAGAATCTCTTCAGTTCTTTGTATCCCATACTTTCTCAGCAGCTTCCAAGAGAGCCCATGGAATGGAGGAGGTAGTACTATTATTGTTCATTATATTGATTGGAGTCTCAATTGTGGGGTTCCACAGGGGTCGATTATCTCCCCAGTGCTGTTTAACATCTACATGAGGCCGCTGGGTGGGGTCATCAGGGGGTGTGGAGTGTCGTGTCATCAATATGCTGATGACACCCAGCTCTACATCTCCTTTTCACCAACTGCAGGTAATGCTGTCCTGTCCCTTCGGCGCTGCCTGGAGACCGTACTGCAATGGATGCGGGAAAACGGGCTAAGGCTGAACCCGGACAAGACGGAAGTTCTGAGGGTGGGTGGTCCCGTGGTTGGCGGCTTGGGTGACTCTCTCACATTTGGGGGGGGTGACCCTGGCCACGAAGAATGGGGTCCGCAGCCTGGGGGTACATCTGGACCTGGCGCTCACCATGGAAACACAGGTGGCATCGGTAGTCTGTACCGCCTGTTTCCACCTATGGCGGATCGCCCGGCTGTGGCCCTATCTCGACATGGGGGCGCTCACTACCTTGGTCCACACACTCGTAATCTCAAGATTAGACCCTGTAACACGCTCTATGTGGGGCTGCCTTTGAGGCTGATGCGGAAACTTCATGTGGTGCAGAATGCAGCAGCCAGACTCCTCAGTGAAGTGAGAAAATACCAGCACATTTCTCCCACGCTGGCCATGCTGCATTGGCTGCCTATTCGTTTCCGCATCGACTTGAAAGTTTTAATGCTCACTTATAAGGCCCTAAACGGTTTAGGACCTCGATATTTGGCAGAACGCCTGCTCCCACCAAGATCTACCCAGATCATCCGTGCGAGCCAGGAGGTGAGGCTGAGGAGCCTGACGCCGAGAGAGGCCCGGAAGGAAAAGACACAAAACTGGGCCTTCTCGGCAGTGGCTCCTCGCCTCTGGAACAACCTTCCTTCAGAGATTTGTGCGGCCTCTACGCTGGGAATCTTTAAAACCCAATTTAAAACATGGTTGTAGATCCAGGCCTTCCCTCCAGTCAATACCTGATTTCTTTTCTATTCCTCCTTATTTTATTCTCACTCTATTTTATTATAACTGTGATGGGCGGGGTATAAATCAAATAAATAAATAAATAAATAGATAAATAAATAAATAAATGATTGGGCAAGAAGTAATTGTAATGATGTGCTACGCCAGTCTCTTGACAAGAGTTGAGAGGAAGCTAAACAGGAGTGCTCAAAGCTGTGAAATGGAGTTCTGAGTGGAGATGATGTGTCTGTACCTAAAACAGAGCCAGAGAACTGAAGGGACTTCCAGGTCTTTGTCGGTTACTATAGTAATAGTATTTTGTAATATAAGAATAAATTGTGTATTAAAATAATAGAAGACCAATAGAAATAACATAAACTGGGGCATACAAATGTTAAAATTGTTCTTACCTTTTGGGATAAACATGAAATATTTTGTTTTCATGAAAATCCTCTGTACATCTAGGCCATTTTATGTGTAAGACATAAGTCTGAATGAAATTTCTGTAAACTTTCAAACATTGTACTATTGCTTCTGGATTCATAAACTCACTGTTCTTACCATTTTACTTGTCTATAACTATTTGTCTTTTTTTTTTTTGCTTTGTTTTGTTATGTACCTACTAATAAAACCATTCTAAATACTATTCAGGTCTTATGGACGTGCTCCTAAGATGATTCATCTAGAATCTAATTTTGTGCAATTTAAAGAAGAGCTGCTACCTAAAGAAGGAAATAAAGCTCTTCTCACATTTCCGTTTCTCCATATTTATTGGACAGAATGCTGTGTAAGTACTATTGTGTGTTCAAAGTTTTAAAACAAATATTAGTTATAACTGAAGAGCATAACAGAAGATAACTTGCAGGAGTTGTCTTTATATTTTGTCATTCTGTGAAAGAAGACTCTGAACAGAGGGGCAAAAGGACTTTATGCCAACAGATGTGGCCTCATATAATTGGCAAAATGATGATTACTGATGCAGAGGTGGGACAAGATGCCAGATGAAATTATTAAAATATTCACTAATTCAGCTTAATAGACCTAAAACTGACTTTCCTTCTGGTGTGGCAAACAAAAAAGCATTTAAATCTTGCTCAGCTAGTAATGTTTAATCATATGATTTATTACTTACACCCACAGGACACAGAAGTATACAAAGCTACAGTGAAAGATGATATTACTAAGTGGCAGAACGTCCTGAAAGTTCACAGCTCTATGGATTGGTTAATTGTGGTAGTAGAATGTGATGCCAAGAAAAAAAACAAAACTAATATTCTTCCACGGACCTCTATAGTAGATAAAATAAGAAATGACTTCTGCAACAAGCAGAGTGACAGGTAATATTTTCCTGGTTTTGCAAAATGTAATTGACAGTAATTGGAAACAGTAATTTTTACACAACTTTCTCTCTCTCTCTCTCTCATCTTGCTCTGAACTGAAAGCTGTTATATTTTCTTGATATTTTGGACAACATGGATCACAGAAACAAAATATATTTGACGGGCTTGTATTTCTCTTCCTCTGAATAGATATATCATATTCAAAGCTTGTTTCCATTCTAAAATTGAAGGTTGTAACATTTTTATGCATACCTTATAAAAGCATGACACATAGTGGAGAGAATATAAATGTTATCTTCAGGCATTAGTTTTGAATTAGTTTTTATTGTTCATGAGAAGTCATTAGGCTAACTTGCTGCTGCATTAAATTATATCTGAATGCTGAAGATGCTTTCAATGAAGTGCGTTTTTGCAATTGATATGGTGATTGCATCTGTTCTAATGAAGCAGCTGAAAGAAGATTTTAGAAGAGCATCTTAAATATTTGATGACATTTCTTACCCATCTGAAGGCAAGCAAATACAGTCATTTATTTTTTCTTCATTTCATTTTTATCCCACGTTTTTCTCAGTGCAGGGGCCTAAGACAACTTACAAAATTATTAACAAACAAAATTAAAGTAAGATCACATTGTTATGTTATTAAAATGCAGGGAAACATGCTATACTGTTAAAAGACCACTAACTTGGAAACAATATAAAACATATTAGAGAAAGGGAACAAAAAATATAGCACCTCCTCCTAAAAATTTCATTTCTCTGCAGCATGTTCACTTGCCAAAGACCTGACTGAAGAGAACAGTCTGAGCCTGCCAACCAGAAGGAGAGCAAGGGTGGGGGCTAGCAATAGTTTTCTTTGGCAGGAAGTTCCACATTCTGGGAATTGTAACTGAAAATGCCCTTTCTCATGTCTTGACTAGAAATGCCTGTCAGGGCAGTGGGACAGAGAAAGGGTCTCCCCTGAAGATCTTAAAACTATGGAATGATAACTCTTTCTCAGATAACCTGTACTCAAGACACAGTCTGCATTAATGGTCATAACCAACACCTGGAAACGACTGGTAGCCAATGATGCTGTTATAACAGGGGAGTTTTATGGTTTTTGTAACTAACCTTGAACAGCAGTATTTTAAATGACTTGAGATTTGTAAACAGTCTTCAAAGGCAAACCGCACATGCAATGTTAACCCAATCCAAGCAGAATGCAGTCAAGGCATGTGTCACCATATATGTCAGACATCTCTAGGAATGAGTGTAGTTAGTTCACTGCCTTCACTTGTGTAAATGTAAAAAACCTATGTTGTCAGAGAGTGTGTAGCCCCCCACTGAACACTCTTATTTTCTGATCTGCCGTTTGACTGACCAGAACTATTTCTTCCTGTCTGAATTAAACTTAATTTAGTTCCCTCTTGTAGTTTGCTGCTAACATTAAAACCTAATTTGCTTTGATGGAATTAGGCAGAAAGGAGAGAGAGAGATTTGGTTGTCATTAGAATGCCGGTGGCACCAAACTGCAAAACTTCGGACAGCTTGTCCTAGTATTTTACGTGTCTTTTAAGTAGCATAGGAGAACTGAACCCAAAGGGACCACCCATAGATCAAAAGTAAGGACATTAAACAGGAATTTTCCAGCACCACATTCTGAGCTTGCCCCTCCAGTGAAGAATCGACCCCTTCTAAATACTACCTCAAAGTCTCCTCCCAGAGCGCAGCCCAGAAAGAGGCCATGATCAATGGTACTGAAAGCTGCTGAAAAGTCTTGCAGAGCCAACATGGCACTTTCTACCTGTCCAGTCCCTAGCATAGATAACCCACCAAGGTGACCAAAGGTCTCCATCCCATAACTCAGTCTGAAGCCAGATTGAAATGAATCTAGGCCAATGGTTCTTAACCTTTGTTACTCGGATGTTTTGAACTGCAACTCCCAGAAACCCCAGCCAGCACAGTTGGTAGTGGAGGCTTCTGGGAGTTGCAGTCCAAAACTCCTGAGTAACCCAAGGTTAAGAACCAGTGATCTAGGTAATCCATTTTATCTAGGAACTGCTGGAGTTAAGAAGTCACTGCATGCTCTACTATCTTGCCCAGGGCAGGAATGGTGGAGACAGACCAGTAATTTTTCTTTGGAGTGGGGTTCAAGGAAGACTTTTTAAATAGAAGTCTTACTATATCTTTTGGACATGGGACAACCTTGCTTTGTTGTAGAGAGACATCAGGCAGTCCTCTCTTGACTGTTTCTGTGGGCCGGGAGGACCAAAGATCCAACACACACACTTGGTGGCTCTCAGGCTGCACAAATTGAAATATTTCCAATAATTCAGGACAAACAGGGACCATAGGACTTAGGCCAACTATGGCATCAAGGTCAGAGTGGATTCAAGCAATTTGGTCTTCAAATTACACAAATACTTCACGGCAGGCTATCAAGTACTCCACAAACCACTGCAAAATTGCTTCTGACATACTCTCTTCTAGGTTGAGTTTTTAAAATTACTTACTGGTTTCTTTCATGAGATAATCTTGTATTCATGTTTGTATTTATGACCTGAAAACTTGGAATTTGCCTCTCATAAAACATCAGATTTGTTGGTTTCTGTCTTACAAGTTCATGCTTCTTGGCTGCTTGCTGAATGAAGGGAATTTCTTAATAAATCTGATTACTTATTTGATGTTTGCATTCTTGACCAACATATTCATTCATCCTGTTACAGGTGTGTAGTACTGTCAGACCCTTTGAAAGATACTTCCCGTTCTCAGGAGTCCTGGAATGCTTTCTTGACAAAACTCAGGACATTGCTTCTTATGTCCTTTACCAAAAACCTAGGCAAATTTGAGGATGATATGAGAACTTTGAGGGAGAAGAGGACAGAACCAGGATGGAGCTTTTGTGAATATTTCATGGTTCAGGTATAGTAGTACAGTATGTAGAAAAATAACTCTAAAATTCATTGGGGAGAGGAAGTGACCATGTGCTTCACCCTTAGAAACAAATATCTGAGTTGGGTAATATTTTATTGGATCACACACACACAAAAGTGAGTTTTCAAGTTGTAGCAAAATTCTTCATCAGGTAAAGATGGCATAAACGTTCAGCAAGGGAAGGAGTAAATGATCCAAAAATTGGGCCAGATGTTTTAGAAATGAATCGTTTGTTATTTTATTTTGCTACTCACATAGAACTGCATTTTTATATTACAAACTTTATTCATTAAAGTAAGAGTGAGCTCAAACAATTCCTGTTTTAATGATTAACAGGTTTCCTGTTACTAGACTAGATCATGTTAGGTATCTGGCAAAATGTTTTATGAAAATGACATCTACCAATAGAAACAAGTATCAACTATGTACTCATGGCAGGAACATGTTTTTAAGAGAGCAGGTCTTTCTGAAAAATTGACCCTTAACTTCCTAAGAGTACTTTGCAGTGCTTTAAGAGATCATGTACAACTTTTTGTAATTGTCTCATTTCTATGAGTTCTGGTCCTTATTTAAACAAAATAACATCATCCATGCATAAGCATTCTAAGCACTTTGCATTCCACATTGTTGCATTTTGTTGTGTGTCCTACTCAGTACTTTGGCATCATAAGCCTGAGAGCACAAATATTAACACACACTTTTCTTTTCTTTTTGTGTATATTAAAAGGAAGAATTAGCCTTTGTCTTTGAAATGCTGCAACAGTTCGAAGATGCCCTGGTGCAATATGATGAACTAGATGCTCTGTTCTCCCAGTATGTTGTCAACTTTGGTGTTGGTGGTGAGTAATTCATTTAGAAAGTGCTTTTACTCATCTCTCTGAGCTGTTCCACTGATTCTTGCATTTCAGCATCTAACTAGAGCAATTTAAAGCTGAATTCACTCCTTGATTGTATGGACTATTTATTAACAAGCTTTGCATTATGGACATTTAGTTCAAATATTTTAATGTGAGATATACCTTTAGGTTATGATAGTGTGCTTGCTTTGCACAGATGGAGCAAATTGGCTGACTTTTTTCTGTCAGCCAGTGCGAAGTTGGAACGGGCTGGTTCTTCGTAAACCAATAGACATGGAGAAAAGAGAATTGATTCAAAATCAAGAAGCTACTCTGCTAGATCTACGCAGTTACCTCTTTTCGCGCCAATGCACATTGCTGATCTTCCTTCAAAGGCCATGGGAAGTGTCTCAGCGGGCACTAGAACTTCTTCACAATTGTGTACAGGAGCTAAAGCTCCTTGAAGTAAGTCTGTATAATTTAATCAGCCAAATGACCAATGCTTAAGCTTCATTCTCAAGTTGTTTATTACTGCCTCTAGATTACATAGGTGGTCTAAAAATTCACTTAAGGTCACTAGCACTTGAGCATCCTTGGGAAGGTGATTAGCTAGTTGTAATCTGTGTGGTAGTCTGAAGTGTCTGGAAGGTGATAATAGTTTATGCCAATTCTGTAAGTCTTTAAAAAAACCAACAGAATTTCAGGTTGAAACAGATGAAACTGCTAGAATACCTCGCTCTACCTACAGTAGTTGTTTCTTTGGTTATATGCATATAACATGTATCTGTTGACTTGCAATAATGTGGTGACATTTATCCTTTGGAAGGTAGCCTTGCCTGCTAAGTATTTTTTTTTTTGCAGTTATTATGCTGCATTAATGGACAAATTGTTACCTTAAGCAGTTTTTATTCCGTTATTATTTTCCAAAACCTGTTATTCCTGTTATTTAATCCGTATCTGCTCTTTTCCGTCCATAGAAACTACAGTTTTTTTTTTTTTTTGCAGTGATTATACTGCATTAATGGACAAATTATTATCTTAAGCAGTTTTTATTCCGTTATTATTTTCCAAAACCTGTTATTCTTTTGATGAACGATTCCTAGAAATAAAAGGTAGATACTGTAGCCCTTGTTTTCTCCAGAGGATAGGAGAATTACCTAGAGCAGATTTTTGGTACCAAAGAGGGGGGAAAGGTCCTAATACTATAGCAGTCATAGACAGAAATTTTGTTTGTGCAGCTATATCGTGTAAGGCTGATGTGGCAATTTTTCAGAAATGATAAATTGCGTTAAGCACCTGTCCTGATATGAATTTTTTTAAATTTAACTCTTGTGGATCTTCATATTTGGCATTTTATTATTTGGATATTAGTAGTATGTTTTTATACAGGATTGATCTTAAAAATTATCTGTCTTGTATCTTACAATGTTATAGTTTACATTTTTAAGTTTTTAAAAATCCAGTCCTCCCCTCCATACCAAATCCCCCTAGGCTTTTGTGAAATCTGTTTTGTTGTGCAGAAGTTGTTGGGGGTTGTGAGATGGGAGGAAATCTTTGTCTGATTACATCATCAGCCTTGTGTGGCATAGCTGCCCAAACAGGTTTTCAGCCTTTTTATTGGATTTAGCCCATTCTATATTCTGTCATGACCCAATGAAAATTTGGAAAATTGCTTCTGGAGCTCCTGAATTTCCAGATGTTGGACAGCATTGCCTAAGGTGTAATGGAATTCTCCAGTTGTGTGCTAGTGAGGAGAAGTGGGGGGGATCTGCTTGGCGGTAGAATTAATCCATTCTGAGGGCAGTCCAAACTGAACAGTGTAGAGCAGTAAAGAATGGGTTTGGTGTTGCAGTTTCAAAATAAGGAAGTTTATTTTTACACCACTGCTATATTCGTACTAGCTTCTCTTGTTTTCTTTCTCTAGAATTTTTTAGTTCTTGATTCATTCTTTGAGGAGACCACAAGACAAAAATGGGGCTAAGGGTTGTCATCATAACTCTGGTTTTGGATGCTGTGCTCTCACCACAGTCCTCCTTGTACTGTGATCACCTCTTCACAAGAGTTTAATATACTTACATGCTGTACACTGGTGTTTTGCTTAGGTTGAAGTACCCATAGTGCAGGGGTCAGGGAACTTTTTTTACCTTTTAAACCCCCCCCCAAATTTATTTACGTTGACATTCCCCCCCCCCTTGGCTCTTGCCGTCCATGGCCGACCCCTGCACCTCCTGCGCTTGCCCAGGACCTGTGGCCACCGTCCAGGCAGCCAGTCTGGAGCTGCCACACCACTGGGAAAGCGTGTCCTTGGAGAGGGCCGGCAGGTCCAGTGGCCATGAGCTCAGGGGAGGCGGGGTGGGAAGGGGGCCTCCTTGACAGTGCCCTGGGCAGGTGGGCGCAGGCAGGAAGGAGAACCCCGGCCAGGGCTCTGCCGGGCAAAGAGTCCAGCTAGCCCGGTCCACTGCCTTCCCCCTCCCCCACACACATTTTGGAGGTGAGGAGGACAGGCAGGTGCCCTGTGCAGTTCCTCGCCAGGGCTCGCTCTCCCCACGACGGGAATGCCCACATACACACAGCATCATCGGAAATAAAATGCCTGGGGGTAAAATGCCTACAGTGGCCATCCCCATTACCCCCAGGATTTTCATTTTTACCCCACTTGGGGTAATTTACCCCTGTTCCCTGACCTCTGCCATAGTGTAACCTTTAGAAGTTTTACAAGTGCTAACTTACGTTACATAATCAAAATACTTCATGGCTAATATTTCATACATTATTGAAAGACTTGTTTGAGAGGAAATAATTGCATAGATCTGTGTAATGGGGCACAAATATGCAGACTTGGCACATTTCTACAAATCTGTCTTATGTTTACTGATCTTATTTTCTAGCTAGTATTAAACTGTGTGCCAGCGGAGTCTGGTCTTTTCAGATGTTGTACTTTTAGCATGGTGGATTGAAAAATATGGATACTTTCTAGCTTCTGTTGAGATCTATACTTTCAAATTTGAAATTTCATTACCCCAGAATGTGGTGAACACTCCAACATTGGAGGCATTCAAGAGAAAATTAGGCAGCCATCTGTCAGATATACTTTGATTTGGATTCCTGCATTGGGGGTTGGGCTTTATGGTCTTATACCCTGTTTCCCTGAAAATAAGACCTAACTTGAAAATAAGCCGTAGTATGATTTTTCAGGATGCTCGCAATGTAAGCCCTACCCCCCAGAATAAGCCCTAGTTAGATGAAAGCCCGCCCTCTACCATTGCACAGCAACTAGAAGATGACATGATTGTATTTGAATAAATGTAGATTGTTGTACATGAAAAAAAATCCCCTGAAAATAAGCCCTAATGTGTTTTTTTGAGCAAAAATTAATACAAGACCCTGTCTTGTTTTTGGGGAAACATGGTAGGCCCCTTCCAGCTCCATTATTCTAGGATTCTGTGATTTTTGACTAATTGTATATAGTCTCTGTCTCTCTATGAATTTGCCAAAATACATTTTGTCTAGATTGGTGGTTCCCAACCTTGGGTAACTGCAACTCCCCAAAACCTTGGGAAGCACAGCTGGTGGTGAAGGCTTCTGGGAATTATAGTCCAAGAACACCTGAGGTTGGGAACTACTGGCCTAGAGAGGATATTTGAAATATATGTCATGAATTACCTGTGTTGCTTGCAAACCTTCTAAAAGTTTAAAATGCTAATGAAGACATTATGTTCCGTTAATATAAGCCTCTTGTCCTAGTAGTATCTGGAATGTTTTGCTCTTAGGTTTCTGTTCCCCCTGGTGCTTTGGACTGCTGGGTCTTCTTGAGCTGTTTGGAGGTTTTGCAGAGAATAGAGGGTTGCTGTGATCGGTCTCAGATAGATGCTAATGTTTCCCACATGGTTGGCTTATGGAGTTACGCCACCGAAAAAGTAAGTAAAGGGTTTAATGTGTTACAAAACTTTCAATAGGAAAGCGCAATAGTTTTTTGTCACAATCAAGTAAACTTTCATTTAATTAGTTGGAGCTTTTTTCAATACGATGGTTGGTGTTCTGCTTCTAAAGAAATACCCCAAAGTGTAGAAAAACCTTGTACTTCATTTTCTTCAGACGCTTTTGTATTGAGATTTATTTGGCTGCCCATTTGTCCATCTAATTCACTTTTGTGCTTTCTTTCTTCAATTCAGTTGCTAACTTGTGTTCTCCATAAACAGTGTGATGTATACATACCATAATTTAGAAAATTCTGGTCCTGCATCTTAGACTATATAAGTCTCTGTGATCAACTTGAAGTAGTACCCATCCTGCCTGGGCACACAGACTCCTTAGTTGGTGGAAACAGAGAGCCAACTAGTATTTGTTGTATTATCAGGACACTCTTACAGATATGCATGCTATATTTTATGCAGTGATTGATACTGTGCTTGAACTTTGCACATACCTCAAAAACGCTTTTAGGGCCACCATAAATCAAAAGCAGTTTGCTGGCACATAACAACACAAATGTGTATGGTCCACTGTATTTAGGCTCATTTATGCAACCTGTGTCCTCTGGTAGTGTGGCATACAGATTGTGGAGCTAGGTCCTGCACATGCTGAACTCTGCAGATGGTCCACAGCATAGATGAAGGAAGCTAGTGGGGTGGCAAACACACTCCTGTTCCCTTTTCCCTTCAGAGACTCAAACATTTTCATAGAGACAAGGACATTTCTTGAATACGACTGCAGCACACGCATGGTGAAACCAGATGAGTACAATCCATCATAAGGAATGGATGTGGGTGTGTGATGTTCAGGTCCTCATGTTCAATGTTGCTGTCTTAGTTAAGCAGTGCTACAAAAATTCTCCTTGAATCTGGTGGCTTGATAGTGATCGGAGTTTGAAGTTAATAGGCACACAATCCCCAAAGGGATTTTTTCTGAGTCAGACTTGGTCTATGTTTATAGAGGAGCACTTTCTGACCCAAGAGAGTAACTCTTCAGACAGTCTGCCTCTAACAGGACAACAGAAGTGACTTAATATTATCAGTGGTGTAGTCTGTTTTAATTGGCTTCCTGTAAATTTTCTGCTTGAGACAGTATCCTCTTCTTGACCTCTGAAATAAATCTATTCATGGTAAATGAAATGGACTTTGTTCTCCTATAACAACCATACACAGTATTAGCTTTTGCTGTATGCTTGCTCAGTTTTGCTGTAAGCAAGGTACAGTAATATTTTCCATTATTTCAGTATATTTTAAAAGTAAACAATACAATCCATCTTGTTTCTTCATATTTCAGAGCCCCATTATATCTCCACTTTTGTATTGTTGGACCTGGCTGTACAGTGCACATTTAAATATTATTGCTGTATCTTTTCATACTGTTCCCAGGGTACTGTATTTGCATGGTTCCCAGTCCTCCTGACTCTTATGATTTTGTACTGTACATGTCATTAGAAACCTCACCAAAAGCTGGTGTGACATAGTGGTTTGAGCCATGGGTCAAGACTTAGGAGATCCAGGTTGATGTCTCCACTAGGGAGTGAAATTCACAGAGTGACCTGTAGCCACTCTCTCTCTCAGCTTGATATTTAATTGTGAGGAGAAGGAGAATGATATATATTGTCTTGAATTTATTGTAGGAAAGAAGGTCTGTAAGTTTTCACTGACAGGATCCATTTAATTTTTACAAAATTGCTTTTGTTTCTGTGCTTAGATATATTTTAGTGAATTCTAAAATTTAGTGAACGTATATCCTTATATTTTATTCTGTTTTCAAGGGCAGTTGGGTGACAGGAAATTATTTTTTCCATCACATCATACTTATGAACTGTCTTGAACCCTTTTATTAGTTACTGTCTTAAGACCAGAATGTTGCATTATCTAGAACAGTGTTCCCTGGCTTAGAATGGCAAGTTACTTCAGAAGTTATTTAAGACTGTAAGAGAGGAAGGAAAATGATATTGATTTAAAAATAAAATTAATTCCAGTGTCTTTCACATTTCTTACAAGCCTTAGGTGTTTTAAGTTGCTGACATTTATTCTTCAGAAGACGGAGTTCTGTTTCATGATAGTAGGTTTCTACAGTAAGCTTCCACATTTTTGCCTAGCAAATTCCAGATGCTCAGTTCCAGCAAAAAGTCCTATGATACCTGTAAATGTGTTAGCATGTAATGAGGCAGCATGTTGTTGCAGTAATTCATTAAGCCTTTAAGATGCCACAAGACTTTGTTTGTGTACCTGGAATGTAAGCAATGACAAAATTTAAATTTCCTCTCCATTACAGTTGAAATCTCTGGGTTACTTATGTGGTCTCGTATCAGAAAATGGACCTAATTCAGAAGATCTTAATAGAACTGTTGATCTTCTTGCTGGACTTGGAGCGGAACGTCCTGAGACAGGTGTTTACACAACTTTTTATGAAACTGTGAAGTTGCTTCTTGAATAAATGTTTCACACTGATAGATTGATCTATAGTCTGTGAATGCTTATGCCATAATAAAATGAAGTAGTCTTACCAGAGCTGCAGGACTCATTGGTTTTTGCTGCTGCACACTTACATGGCTGTGCCATGAAAATTACCTGTCATGCTTCTGGTGGACAATTCTTGGTAGCATCAGTATTTATCAACGTTACTCTATGTTCAGAGACTTTTTGGTTCTTGGAAACTGTACTGAAATGGGTTTGGTATTGCCATCATGCCTCTAGCAGATATAGTTGAACCTATGCTGAATATAAAGCCAATTTTAAAGTTTCTCATACTTGTTGCAGTGGTGAGAGGAAGTTTATAATTTTGTAGTGTTAATTTTCCAGGGCTGGGAATTTGAATTTTACATTATGTATTTAATGTACTAATATTCCACTTTGGATATCTGTGCAACACTCTTTTTTGTTCTTAAATGACACTTCTGTTCTGCAGAAGGTCATCTCTGCAGGTCACTATTTCATTTGTAAATAAAGGAAGGGGGAGGACTGTGTTCTTGCTAATGTTAACAACAAAATTTCTGGAACTGAAGCTGACAGAATTTTGATATATTGGCTTGATGTGCAGAACTGAAGGAGAAAATACTTTTGAATGGCATATAAATTTTCTGGCATTACTATTTTCTGTTCGGTAAAGTGTAATTCGCCCATCTTCTGCAGCTTGGATGATCCAGGCTCCTGCTCTGTACCAGCCAGGTGGCTGGGGTTGAGAAAGACCAATGAAATGAATCTATTTTTGTAGCTCTTATGGTTAATGTGGGAGGTATTTTCCTGACTTGTAGTGTATTCCTTAAAATTTTTGTTGCCGTTGGTCACAATGTAGAGGGAATTTTCCTATCTTAGTTCTGTACTGGTGTAAGTATGGGGTCTGAACTTGATTCTTTCTCCAGGAATTGAGCAGATCTGAAGCTCTGGTACACGTGTCAAACTCAAAGCCCATGGGCCGAATCTGGCCCGCCAGGCCACTTCATGTGGCCCTCTCAGTGTTGTCTGCTACTGTGCAGTATACAATATGCAGGGACTTACTCAGTCACCCATAATGCTCTGCAAGGATCCTGGGAATCCACCCAGTGGGACTTACAATCCCAGCATTCCAAGGAATAAAAAATCAGAAAGTGCAGCTGCTTAGGCGGTGTACAGTACCTTGGGAAATGTAGTCCTCACTATTGCCCACTTCCTTTCTTACATTTATATAGTCTTACAGATACAACCAGCCCTTTGAGGGCAACCTTAATGCTGATGCAGCCCAAGATGAAATTGATTTAACGCCTCTGCTCTAGTATATACTGAGTTGCCATATATTGAATCAGACAGTCGATATGTCTTTTTTAGTATTGTTGACTAGCAGTGACCCTCTAAATGGATTGAACCTGGAAGCTTCTGCATGCTAAATTTGCAGTAGAACACTGAGCTATACCCCTGTCTTGTTGCTTTCTGCTTCTACTATTGGTGAAAGCCTTCTTCTTACATAGAAACAAAGGGAGCCTTCCCTCTGGTGAAACACTGAGCCACAGCAAAGCTTCTCTGTGGGTGAAGACCAGTGGAGTACCACTAGTATATCCTATTTCCTTCAGCAATGACTGGTTAGGATTACTTCCCCCCACCCCCATTCTCTTGAATCACCTTTCATACCTAGTGCTGAACATCTAGTGCAGAATTTGTGATGTCCCTCCTGTATAAATTTGTAGTGCCTTTCTGAACAGGTGTCTTACTATGTTTATCATACTTTATTTTTGAAGCCAATGCAGCACAATCTCCTTATAAGAAACTCAAAGAGGCCTTATCATCTGTAGAAGCTTTTGAAAAGCATTACTTAGTAAGTATGTCATGAGCATATATATCATATTTTGATACTTTATGTACAGAAGCTAAATAAGAAATCAAAATAATATGTATATATGTTCTTCAGATAAATTGTAATATGGCACAAATACTGCTGCATATTTATTGGCAAGGGAGTTATAGAAACTGTGATAATTAAAGAGTTGGACTGTTCTTAATATATTGAATAGATAAAGTGAGTAATATTTGGAACATGTTTAATGAATACCATAGTTGACTTAGACAACCATAAAGTGATAAATCTGTAACAGAATTGTGACATAATGCAGTTTTGTTCTATAGCTGTATCTTATGAATTTAATGTATTTTACAGAATGAGGTAAATAAAAAGCTCTGCAGACCTGGAGTGGGCAGTTTGTGGCCTTTTCAGTGTTGTTGGATGGCAGTTCCAGTCCACCTTGTCATTGGCTGTGTTGGCTGATGCTAGTTGGATTTGCTCTCCAACACCATTTGGAGGTTTAAGCATTGTCCACCCTTACTGTAGGGTGAGTGACTTAAAAATCAAGATCTAAATGGAATGATTTGGATCTGGTAGATATAATCATTTTTTTAAACATTTACCAAATCTGCTATAAACATATACAGTTTAGGGCAAAAATCCTACCTTGAGATGTAATGAAATTTTAGGTGACCTCTATGCTCACCAGCTTAAAAAATTGGGATGGTGATATAGGCTTGTCTATGTTGAAATTAAATGTGGAGTGTTCTATAGGGTTCCGGACTTCTATAGCAGATCTTTTCTTCTGTTGTTCAAAAAGCCTTTCTAATCCTGTTCTAAAACCCCTTTTCTCTTCTCTTACTTAGGATCTTTCCCATGCCACCATTGAAATGTATAAAAACATCGGAAGAAATCGTTCTGCAAAGCTTGTTGGAAAGGATCTAGCAGAGTTTTATATGTAACTAATATTTTTTAAACAGTTCTAAGGACCATAAAATAGTATTCTGAAAGGGGCTTTTTAAAGTATATTGAGTAGCATGTGTTCCGTAAAATACAGAAACAAAAAACAACATTATTACTAGGTTAACCAGCTAGCTTCCTTGTGCTACAGCAACAAAGACAAATCACTTCAAATAGTCCTGGCGATCCTAATATTTACAACTCTAAGAATAGCTCTTTTTGCAGGAATATAGTGTTAAAGAGAATCAAAGGGGAAATGTTCTATAGAATTAAGTATCAGGCCAGACTTGAATCTTTATTTGCATCAGAAGGTCTGTATACGAAGAAATCAGTGATGGTTTCCAGTTTCAACTTGCTTACTATATATTTATTTATTTATTATTAGATTTTTATCCTGTCCTTCTAGACAAGAGTCTCCTCAGGGCGGCTCACAATATATTACAAAGAGATAAAACAACAATTAAAATCTACAATAATACTATAATCAAGATGGGAGGAACTTCAAAAACCAAGAAAAGTAAAATCAAATATTGGCAGGAGGGAAGGCTTGCCTAAAGAGCCACGTTTTTCATTGGCTCTTGAAAACACCCAGCATGGGTGCCATGCAGATCTCTGGCAGCAAGCTGTTCCAAAGTCGAGGGGCCAC